GGTTGTTCTGGTGTGGGAGAGGTTGTTCTGTTCAGCTATATGTGTGTAAGTGATCTGTAAGACTGTTTATTATGATCTGTGTGAACTTGGTGATTCATGCAAACATGGGAAATGGAAAAATGTCAGCCTTGTTTACTGTATTCTTCTGAAAAGCGCCGCGCTCCAACTGATTTTATATCACCACCAGCTGAACTGACAGAAAGCCGACAGTAAAATAAATAAAAATAAAAAAATAAAAAATAAAAAATACAAACGACCAGACTTGAGGAATGAGGAAGTGACCAACGCGACACGAGTCTTTTTCAGCTCTGTCTTGTCAAATGAACTGCACTTGTTACAAAACAAGTTCACCAAGATACTTTAGGCATCGTACAAACTGAAATTAACTAAAATTTGGAACACTAGTAGCTAAAGGTCAGCTCTATCAGAAATAGTAGCCGAAATAATAAATACAAGATGGCTGCCATAGCTAAATTCAAATTACTCTAATCCAGCCAATTTCTCATGTATTGAGCTAATATTTTATACACAAGTAGCTGACAGTAAGCTCTATCACAAATAGTAGTTGAAATAAAAATCCAAGATGGCCACCATAGCTATTTTCAAATGGCTTTCACTCAGCCTCTGTTTGATATATTGAGCTGAAACTTGGTTTACTGGTAGCTGAGAGTAAACTCTGTCACATACTGGAGCACAAACATCAAAAACAAGATAGCAGCCGAAGGAACTTTGGCTACTTTTTCTCAATGCAAATGAAAGGAGATATTTTCAACATGAATGCACTCACACAAGTTATACGTCAAAACGACCGGCTCGGCCAGAGGAAGTGTGTTCTTACTCAACTGTATATTTCATTGTTTCCATGGCGATGCAGTAGGCCGACAAAGACACCCTACAAATGCCATTGGAAATGAATGGAGAAGGCCTCAAAGCCTTCAAAACCTTTTTAAAATAGCTCATGAACCACTGATTTTAAACTTTATAAAACTCTAACACAGTCATCATTGGACAATCCTCTGTCACTGTCCAACACATTTGTCCAACTCAGATACAAGATGGCTGTCCAAGCAACCCTGGATTACCATGTAAGTGCTGGACATCAGCATATTTTACATATGCTGAATGAATATAATGTGTGAAATTAAGTGTGAAAAATCTTTAGAACAACTGATCCACTTTATTAGAGTATTCAAGTCTTACAAATGACAAAAATAGCATAGAAAAATGTCTGTTAGCAAAATATTTCATGTACGAAAGCACAAATTCAGCCAGAAAACACGCAAAATGACTTATAAATCAGTCATTTCTTGACCTTCAGAGAT